GGAAGGGGAAGAGAAAATACTGTGAGGTTTTTACACTCAAATGTTTTTCCAAGTTCTGCTCATGGGCTCTAATGAATAATTATTCATTTGAAATAAGCATAAGTCAAATTTCAGATTCCTTCTATTTTGAGGGCTCAGCAGCTAAACTTCAATTTTCTATTTTCCTTTTGCAAAAGAGGGCTATTAAAACCCTGCCCACAACTGAGTACACCAAGAGCTTATGTAAGGAATAATTTCTCCCTATATTTAGAAGTGCCTCATTTTTGTACCAGTTAAAAGTTAATTCATAATCCAAATAATCAATCTGCAATGTAAACAAGTAGTTATTTTCTCCCATGTAATAATGGTAAATATCATTTACATATCATCATTACATATTCTGCTTGAGTTCATTAAACGCAATTCTTCAGTCACAAAGGCAGCAGGCATTCGGTGATGGACTTCCTTTGAACTATGTTCAAATGAGTGGAATAACTGAGATTCCTGATGGAGATCTAAGCCATTTCCCTCATTTTCTTAATAGCTTCCGCTATTTGCATACTCAACTCTCCATTTCATAATTTGCTATTTAAAATAAATTCATTTCCCCAAACCCTCCTCTCCCTATCTAAAACAAACTTATTTACATTTATGGTAAATGCTTTTCAGCAAATAAGTTGCAAGAAAAATAAAATTCAGAGAAGTGGTAGGAAGGGAGCAAGTATTTAAAATTTTGTATTCACTTGCTTTCTGAATTTCCTTCCAAAGATGCTACAGGGTCAAAAGCTTTAAAGGTTTAAAACACACTTTCACACATTTTTGATTCTTTCTCTCTTCTATACAAGAGACAGACTTTGCCCGGTGAAGCACCTTCATAACTTTTGCCGAGTAACTGAATGAAACTGCAAGTCGTTTCCCCCCCAAGAAAGTAAAGAAAATACAGCTTTTTACTTCAAATATTTTATGAATGCAAGATTACAAGAAATATATTAGTCAAAACGCAGGGCTACCAAGCACTGACCCGAGGATGCTGGCATCAGTTTGCCTACCATTTTGCATGTGGAAAAAATACACTATGTCTACAGGTAAAAGGCATCACTAATGCATCATGAATTACTCTGGTCAGCCAACACCACCTCTGCAGCTTGGTGCATGTTTAAGTCCTGAAAATAATCATCGTATTAATAGTTTGAGATGAGACACTGGAACAAAACCATTCTTAAACAGGAAAAGTTTTTGTTTTGCTCTTATCGAGGTAATACCAAAACCTAAAAAAAAGATCTTACAATTTAGCAGCCACTTTAACGCTTGTTAGGCTAGCCTTCACACAGGGAGCATGCATACAGCCACTGTTCTTGCTTTAAACTGAGGGCTGTCGGTTAATTCAAGTCACTGTTTTCTCACCGTATTCGATTAACCTGTTGAACTGGATGTCCACCATAGGAAAAAGAAAATTAAATGTTGTTAAGTGTAGCAGACAAATACAGATCACACCAAGAAGCTAACACTCATGAGTTGTCATAATAAGAGATAATAATAATAACAATAAAAAAAAAAAAAATCAGTCTTTTCTGTGCATATTTTTCATTTGAAAGGTCCCAGGAAATCATGATGTGCCTGGCCGTTTCTGTTGCTGATTTCTGATGACCTCTAATTGTTTTTTGCACTGCTGATAGTAAGTTGAGAGACTTTTGTTTTCATCTAACAGCTTTTTATGTTCTTGTACCAGACGGGATGTGTTCTGCTGGTCTTTTTCGTCCTGGTCCAGTTCTGCTATTAGTTCTTGTCTAAAATTAAAAAAAAAAAAGTAATTATCATTTATAATCTACTTCTATTTGTGTGTAGATGACTTCATATGTTTCAAGTCAGTATTTGATTATCAGTCTGAACTCATGGCTGGCGAAGTTTTGTGAAAAAAAAAAGCTGACAAAAAATATCTTATTCTTTACTGTAGTCTGTGGAAAAATTATCTTCCGAATTAAATCCACATTTGAACTTCAAAATAGCTGCAAGCCACAGCCTGAATCTCTAAAATTGTTGTTTATACAATATCTTTCAGACATAGTTCTACAGGTCCCAGTAAAACATCTAAGGATCCACACGGAATTTCATAAATATATTCAACTCTAATTTTGCTTAACCATATGTACAATTAAAAACTCAAAAGACAACTTAAAGACAAAATTGCAATAATTTCGGTAACTTTTTAGTGAAGTGCTGTTTTCTATTTGGTCTTGAACTTCTTAAAGCAGTGGAAAAGCAGAATCAAGCAAATTATTTTTGTAACTGGCATTTAACTTAATTTATGCCATATGTGTTCAATATGTTTTTTAGCAACAATTTTAAAGGAATAAACACACTGATAAACTCGATATAAATTATTCTGCAAAACTGATGTAGCAGTTTGTTTTACTACTTGTTTATGAGGTGACAAGAAGGCAAGCTGCCAGCAATATTGTAGCAACAAAATAGTAGAGGAGCAAGTTCATACTAATTAACTGTTGCCATGTGGTTTGTAATTACAGTTAAAGGATATTTAATCATTCTATTAAGGTTGAACTAATAACTACCTTAACCAGCATGAAATTCAGCAACCACAATACTATTTTTTGTTTTAACATCTATGGGCAATTAATGTTCTGACGAAGAAAAAATTAAGTTTTGGAGAAATGTGTATGCAGACTTCTTAGGAAAAAAAACATAAAAGTAGGAATCTAAAGGAACAGAATTAACAGTTTTGAAACAGAAAGAGATTTTAATATAACTTGTTGACCCTTAGGGACAACAGAAATAAAACAAAAATTAAGATCATTATGCTAGCTTCAGTATCTCCTCATGCAAAAAATTCTCCTTGTACTTGGAAAAATAAAATTGTTCTCAGGATGCTAAGCCAAAAATGAACAGATAATAGGAGGTCAATCTCATGGAAGCTTTCTTCCCCATTAGGTATGCTATTTCTAATGTACAAGAGGTTTATATACACATTTTTCTCATGAGCTATTCCACAAACACCAGGGCAAGCTCCCTATTAACAACCGCTTGCCTGTAGTGGCTCAGACACTGGTGGGTAACAACAAGCTGGTTACTTGGTCCAGCATGGGAGTACATATGACTTCTCAGAACTGAAACAATGAGAAGTAGAACACAACAGAAGGTATTGCAAACTGAAGTTCTGAATCAGTAATAACTTCGGCCCTAACCCAACAATACATGCAGTTGCTTCACTTATACGTGCACACAACGTAAGAGGAAAGCGTTATTTCTAGTGCACAAGGATAAGAAGGTATATAACGGCTTTGAAGTATCAGCTCCTAAACCTCTGGTAGAAAAACAGCAGCTGTGTGTTGATAAAACTGTTGTAAGCGTGACAATTGACAAAAGTCAGACATAAGATAAAAAACAACTGCAAAATGAGTAACATTCACGTATTACTCAAAATTCTATAATCCATTATCCAAGTGATAACTTACAAATTACAATTGAAAAACTTTTACTGGGCAGCATTGGAAATAAAATTCCAAGGTTCCTCAACAGGTCTTTCATCTGAGATCACAGAAACAAACATTACTAGTATGTTACATACACAGCTGTGCCACACACTTTAAAGTAGGACTCGTCTAGAAGAATAGTCTTGATATTGATTAAAACTTTAAATTACCTGTTCTAAATATCTCACCTGCACTGAGCAGCTCAGTATTTCTGAAATTAAGACTGGAAAACAATTATGCCCTATGAAATGTTACTTCATAAAGCCAGAAATAATAGTCACGATAACAGACTTTGTGTAAAGGAAACATACGGAAGAACAGAAAAGGTTCGACACATTTCACTTACTTCCTCTGCAACAGCAATGCAATTTCTGTCTGAACTTTCATATATTCTTGTGCCATTTTGCAGTGCTGTTCAAACACAGCCATAGATTCTTTGGAGTTTGGGCATGGTGCTAGAGGCTGAAAATAAATCAGACATGTTAAAAACTAATGAACTGATATCTCAGTATACAGTGTGTTAGAATGTCTCCACAGTGTATTTATAACATCTTTTAAAAACCAGTAACCTTTTAAAAATAAGCATTAAACCATGCCCTGGAAAATGCTACTGCACTGATGTCAAAGTTGACTCAAACCTCAAACTTGCAGTTATTAATCTGATACTCTATCACAAAAATCAAAGTAGTGTTTTATCTCACACAAAACAAATAAAGTGAATGCAACAATTTAATTCAGTAACACTCAAGCAAATAGTGTCTTATTTTGACAGTCAAACTCAGCTTACATTTGGTTTTAGGGATCATGTTTCCCAGGGCTTGTTTTTAATAGCTTGATCAAATCTGAGTCAACCAATCTCAGATTACATAATATATTTTTTTAGCCTTGGTCAAAAGTTAGACAGAACATAAACACAGGTAAATATGCAGCACGACATTCTGCAGCCCAAAATTCACACACCAGAATGAAACGCAAGATAAGTAATCTAATAAAGCACATATTTATTACCTGTAACTGATGATCTAATGTAAGATATGCCATTGGGATGGAGTTATCTGACCCATTGGTCTCTGTAACAATACCAATAAAATTTTAATGTATTTTCAGAGTTAATTCTATTCTTATAGGACAAAAACAAGACTTCTAAATCGTTTCACAATATACAATCTGAATGTGGAAAGCAAATGGAAATAGCAGCGTTCCAATCCCAAGGCAGATGAATCATTTTGTTTTTCTGATAAAGCTAAGAACTTCAAACGTATGGTCTATCACACCAAGAAGAAATAAAGATTACGGTTATCATCCTACACCTCTAGAAGCCATGTAACACAATACAGATTTTTAAAAATACTATTTTTGTACAGTTTGCAATCACAATTTCTGTTTATTAAAAAATTGCCATTTCATTCTTGTTTATGAAGGATCAGCCAGCCAGCCCATGCATCTAATGATTTTAAAATTAGAAGCTGTGCAAACCAGCTCTGCCAAAATAAAATAAGCACAACCTCCTGCTCAGTTTTGAAACCTGCTCCCAGTGAGGTCTGTAAGTATCTTCCTCACAACAGGCTCTAAGGCATCTTCTCTGCTCTGTAGAGATACTTTGTGGGTAGCAAGGACCCCAGTAACCTGGGCCTGGCTGCTCTCTTCTTACACTGCAGTTACCCCAGATTTCTCTCGTGCTTTCATTCCAGATTTAACATGTTTCTGAATTCTTATAGATTCTATCTTTTGGTAGCCCACAATCTGCAGATCACAAGGTTACTGTTAAGCTTTAAGAGACACAGGAGTAAAGACACATGGAGAAACTACTGATTTTATAGCTGTATTATTGCTACTAGAGGATTATATGGAGGAGGGTAGGTGGGAAAAAAAAGGGGCTGCTTACCCATACCCCAAAAGCACCTGCCACAGAGTAGTCGTGGTAGAGAAACTAAGGTGTTGCCCTCAAAGACTATGCTATCTCCAAGAGCAGCTTCAAAAGGAAACAGAAATAAGAGGGTGGGAATGGAGAAAAAGTGGTTAAGTGTATGCTTGTAAGGAAACTGGAAGGTGGTAAAAGAAGAAAAAAAAAAGAAAAAGAAAACAACCCTAAACCCAGAGACTTCATCACCACAGTATCTTAAATGAGAACAACATAAAAAGTCTTTCCCTACATTAGACTATTGCCATATGTGGAGTACTGCTACAGCAAAGGAATTATTGCAATGTTTCAAATACATCAATACAAGCAAAACACTTCAGATTACATTGCTGAGAGTTTCAGCACTGTGTCACAGAACTGTAGTTTTTCCTGTGATTGACCAGATTCAGCAGCATCCTCATTTTCTCATTAACTTAAAAACGTGCCCTCTTTTACAGAAAACTAAAATTATTTCTCTTTTTAGAAATTCAAACAATTTTTTGTTCATGGACTGCATAAACCTAACAAGAAAAAATATACATGTGGTACATTCTGTATTTACTCGAGTATAAGGTGAGGGATTTCTGTGGGCTAGAAAACAGACCTGACTTCCAGCTCTACTGCTGTGCTGCATTTAAGGCCAAATATTTGGGACAAACTGCCTTTGCACTCGCATATGATCAGCAACTTTCCATTCCCAATGAACTACTGATTGGGTAAGAGCTTGCTCCCATGTGAGACAGCAATTCCCGTAAGTGCTCACTGCCTAAAGCAACTCAGGACTCATGCTACACAAAAGAGGGCACAGGGTGGGCTGTGGCAGTGGGCAAGGGCTTTGGGAAATCGTAAGTGACAAGGCATAGAGCGTGATCAGGCAAAGTGACAACAGACAGAAAGAAGAAAGCACAGAAGCAAAATAGAACCGTGTGTTGCCCTCTTCCCACTGAAACCGGGGAAAAAAGAAAAGTATTCGTCTTACATCCAGAATCACCTTATATTTGGTAAAATACAAGTGCACACATGTATACCCACAGACATATATATATTATGTATGTATATATATGCTTGTGCAAGTCAGTCCACATGTGAGTTTCCATTTCACAGTTGGTTACAGTAACGGAATGAGAGTCTCATCAGCTAAAGATGAATTGGGTCACAAAAAAAAAGATTTCAGAATTTGAGGCACTATGAGGTATTTTGAGACTAAGTTTAAGATTCAACATGTACATTTTGGTAACAAAAATTTAATTCTTATTTATATACTAAAAAGGAATTTGTGGGGATCCATTGTTTTCATGCAGTCCAGTACTGGTTCTTTTCATAATGGAGTGTGACTTTACAAATTGAATTCAACTATTAAATTATGATCACTCTGAATCCTATTTCACAATGAAAGAACAGTGATGCTACAGTAGAAGTATTTACAACACTTCTGCACACATGCTTATGTTAGTCCATTTAAAAACAGTAAGATCATGTGCACATGTACGTTCTGCACAAGCAAAATTACAACACAGATTAGAAAAATGGAATTATCATATTCCAGCTGATACTCACCTACATGACGTTTCATTAGAGAAGTCAAAGTAATGACAGCTTTAACTGTGCGTTCATAATATAAATGCACAAGACTAAAATGCTTTAAAGATGTCTATTCCCCTAATGCCTCAAAACCACACTACAGTCAAAAACTGGTGTTAAAAGATCTGCATTAAATACTATCATCGCTGCAGATGTTCAGTACTTTATTTCAAGCAAAACACTTACAAGTTTATGTAACTTAATCTAATCTATATTAAAAAGTTCTTAAAGCCAGTGTGCAAAACAAAGCAGTAATGTAATGATTTAATTTAAGCAGAACTAAAATGGCCTGTGACTTTTACTGCTTAATTTTGTTAACGTCTAGGCACACACGCCACACCATAATCAAAAGAAATATTTTCTATTTTTTTACAGGCAAAAGTTAACTGATGAACAAAGGATTACCTGCATCATCAGGTGTCCATGGATTACGAGTTGGCTTTTCAGAGGTTGGTCCCGAGGTAGTGATCATTCTCACACTAGGACTAGATGATCTACTGCTGTTTCTACTCTCCTGAAATGATAAAAGAAAACAAAATAAAATGACCAGAAAAGTTAACAGAAGATTTGTTCAAAGGGTTCATTTAAAAAATATTATTTAGAAGAAAAATAAATGTGAAGAAACCTGAACCTATAATCCTCCCAAATATCCTCCTATACAAGCTTTTACCTGAAAGCTCTCCAGATAGCTTGATAAACTTTACATGCATTGCGGAGATAACTTCATCCCCATTTCTACTCCATCTTTACCATATAAAGAGAAATGGTTATAATTTGGCCATTCAGCATTATCAAAAGTAGTGCTGAACAATGTGGTCAAGATCTTTATATAAAAGCATGACACTGTCTAGTAGTTTTCATACCACCATTCATTGAAATCTAGCAGCTCCATAATGTAAGGAAGAACCAAAGTTGGCTTCCAATGTTTAATCAACAAATGGAACTACATTCAACTAAAGGAATCCAGCTTTCTAACTGCACTAGACTGTGGTGTATTAATCTACAGTTTTCTTATGGCTCTTACACTAACTCAGAGGTTACGCGATTCATCTTCAGAAAACATGAAAAAAATGTTTAATCAAAAAGAATCAATCAAAGCAAAGCAATTAGAAAACGAGTACGTTCTCTCTCACAAAGTAAATTAAGAATCAAACAAAAATTCTGTAGGCAGTTCCTTTATATACAGCTTAACTCCTCCAATACTTTGTTTACCAAAGTGCAAAAACATAATACAGAGTTCATTATTCTAATGGGTTTATTTTTTAGAATTATTATTTACAATATATATTCTTGTATTTCATATACCCCCTCACCGACATAAAATCAACACAGTAAAGGATTTAAGACTATAAACCTCAGCAAATTTTGCAGGAAAAAAAAAGAAGTAAAAAGAAAAGAGGCTCTTAAAATACAGAAAATAAAATATTTTCAATACAGAGTCTTTATGATTCTAATTTCCAAATATCCTATCTTAATTTTTAAAAGCCAGGATTTTAGTCAAGTAACAATCCAAAGAGTAACATGATTCTACACACTGAAATATTCATTATTTCAACTGCATTATGTTTCTCCTGTAATTTTTATTAACTGTTTAGTGTTCTATGTTAGTAACCAGAAACAGGGCAAAAAACTCTTGTAGAATAATCCAATGGATGGTATTATCGGCATGACAGCACCAGACGTTTTGAAAAAGCTTTTATGTTGGAGTCATTAAGCAAGGTTAATTGCCACTTATTTTCTTACTAATTTTTTTAAGTTACTGCTTACTGTCAGCGTCCTCAGATATGAATGATAAACACTCTGCTGATGGGAAAGGCCAGAAGACCGAGCAAGCACTTTTAACAGTAAGTCCTTTAAGTAAAAAGAGATTTGTCGAGTATCTACAGCTCATAGCAGAGGGCATCTGAGAAGTAATGTAGCTACAGTAACTTCTCAGTGCTGTACTAGATTGCCTGCTGTACCAGATTGTTTTGATTCATCAACAGAAAAGAAACTATTTCCTTGATAACATTAATAGACAAAATTACTAGAGATAGAAATGAAGGATTCGTATCTGAAGCATATCTAAAAAGCACTGCAAAGTCCAAAGGAAGTTCCCAAAACAGAACATCCATTAGATTACAGTGTTTCAGTGTGTGTTGAGCGAGATGCTTGAGGCCTCCTGGACGCCAGCCCCTCCGACACGTAAGCCAGTGACTTTAGCAATCAGTTTCTGCTACCTTTCCACAGGTATCCTTTCAGCCTTGCTTCCTCCAGGTATCTCAGTATGCTCAACAGACCTGTTACCAGGTTACCCTCAAATCACCTTTGCCAGGTGGCCAAAGCCACACGGCATTGTTAGCTTCTTAGCTTCTGTTTCTCAAAGACCTGCAGTCTTGAAAAGCTGGTGTGCTCTGAGGTATAATCCCTCCCCTCAAGTTTAATTTAAACGGGCACCCTAATTGAAAGAAATCACTGTTACTAGCCCTGTCTCATCATCTCCAATTTTATCTTTCTGTGAAAGGGGAGAAAAAACCCAAACATGTGCATCCGTGACCAATTTCACAATCTCACAGACAGAATGATTCACCCGTATAACGTCAGATACCCCAAATTATCACACTTCACTTGCACGCATGTGGGCACGTACATTCTGACCCTGCTTCTCAGTGTTCAATACAGTACATGGCTTTCTTTAATGTATTATTTTTTTTTCCACTTCAAAGTAAACCATAAGAGTTATGAAGGCCCAGCAACAACTAAAAAAGAAAACCTCAAACATTTAAAAAAGGTAGTTTTGCTATTATGATAGTACTGTGAAGGATGAGGTACCAAAACAATCAACCCAATAAAAGATACAGAGGCAAGGACATGGATACATTACTAGGCATCTGATCACAATCTGCAGCTCTTGAGTGGTTATGTCAAATACGTTTCTCAGTATCTGTATAGAATACCAGATTCTGTAAAGACTCTATCCAGTGTAAACAGTAAGCTTGCTGTGTTCCTTCAAGCCCCTGAAAGTTTTTAGGGCTGCAGTTCAGAGTCTGAACATCTGTTTCTGTATTACAAAGGTATTTAGGCAAGAGGAGTAGTGCTGGCCTGACAGCACAGCACAATACAGTGTTTTAAAATGCATGCACAGGGAAATTGAAAGGCATAAGAAACAACTGAGTGGAAAAAAAAAATGTGTGGAAAAATGAATGGAAATAAATGGAAATGTAGCATTTGACTACATAGAGAGGGTTGCATCAATGCTGCTCATTGTCACTTGGAGTAAGGTTCAGTCTAACATCACCAAGCACTAGAGAAGTCTGAAAAATTGGGCTTCAACACGTGTTCTCAACACTGAACCACTCCAATAGCTGCCCCAATGATGGAAAACCTTTGGCTTAGCATATTTTCTTGTCTGAACTGTTGATGTAAAAGGGTCAGTTGAGTAGCACAATCATCTGCAAAGCACTATTACTGCCTGTTGCTCATAACATCAGTGAGAGTAATGCTGGAAAATGCCTTAAGTGTCTCAACAACATAAAATGAGTAATCATCAGCTATACAAATCTCACAAAAAAATTATTCTAGCAGTACACAGAAATAAAATATACATATAATGATAAAACATACGAGAAGGTCAGATTAAAACAGACCAGCAGTTAGCAGGTAAGCATGCCAAACTTTTGTGTATTTATTATTATCAAGTCTATTTTTTTTTCTTCACCTTAAGAAAAATCCCATTCTGAATTGAAAAAACCTTCCTGACTAAAAAAAAATAGTTACAAACAGAACCATCTTCTATTGACACAGCACCAATTTTCAGGAAAAACATGTTTAATACGAAGATTTCTGATCACCTTTAGCGTGTCAGTCAAATATTTAAAAAGAGGAAAACTGGCACCGTGGCAATCCTTCAATTCTGAGCAGGACAGGGGCTTACAAGGGCTGGGTGCAGGAGCAGAGGCACGCAGTGCCATGGCAGCTTGGTGAACAAGGCTGCGCCGCAGGGTGGGTGTAAAGGAGAATGGAATGCGGGGAAGAAGGATGTTTGCAATGAAGAGAGGGAGGAGGAAGGGGATTTTTACATTAGAAGGGACAATCTATATATGGTATGGTGCATATGGGGAGATACGATAAACCAACCAGAGCAATGCTAGTCACAGATGTGTTTTCGGCTTTGGCTAGTAGATTGCTTATATGGACAGCGCTTCCAGATTTTTAAAAAAAATTTAAGGCAGTGAGGCCCAGAGCTATAGAAACCCATAAAGAGTAATCTTAAGTCTTTTGCCATAATCACATTATGCTTGCTTTCTTCACTGTTTTCTCATTTATTATTTTTAAAAATAAACAAACATATGTATGTCAAAAGTTAGCGTTAATTTCAGCAGACTTTTCTATCTCTTCTCACGCCAAAAGGGGGATGAAAATTCATTATTCGTTTATGTGCACAGCACAAAAATTTCTTCCACGTGCGTTTTTCGTGTCTGTTAAAATATTATGTTTTCCAGATTTTATCCTAATGTTTCTAAAAATCTGCAAGATAGAAGCAGATAATTGTAATTCTTCCACTTAGATTTTCAATACGTACACTATCAGAAGCAAGAAAGTAAAATGTGATTCTGGATCTCCTATAGACTCTCACCAGAAATTGGTGAGGTAAACAAAATAAAGACTTTTCTGTATCCTGGTCACAAGGACGATTTAACTAGAACATCCATACAAGCAGTAGAACAGCTTTCAAAGAAAGATTATCATAATAGTTATTAAGATATGAAGTAGATGCTGAAACTCTGGATTTTTAAATATCAATTGTTCATTAAAATGAACAGAATGAAAAATTTTAAATACAAAAAGCTATAATTAAATATATTCATACACTAATCAGTGCAATTTGGTATAACTGATGGACTGTCACTCAACCCCCCCCCCGCCTTGCATAATTTTAGTTCTACAATTAACCGAATAGGCTAATCTATTTCTTTACTAAATTTTGCAGATTCATTTCTTTCTTGACAAACCTGTCTTCTCTGAAGATACTAAAATGTATTTAAAACCCATTTGTTATCTTCTGATAGATATACATAGCAAATTCTACTAATAATACCTGGGAGATTGACGAGGTTTCTGTGGCTATCACTCTCCATGGAATTAAAGCAGGATCAAATGTTGATCCCCCTGATAACTACACACCCCAAAAATTACCACCTATTTTAGATTATTGCAGTAGGTTGTTAAATATGGAAACCTGATTAACCTGATGAATATGCTAACCTTGTCTCCCACATCCAAATAATAGTAGGGATCTCAAAATTGCCAATTCACAGTAACGACCAAATAGTCTCTGTGAATTACTGAAACAGACAATGAAGCAATTAAAAACACAAAATAAACATCTGAATGAAACCATAGCTGTACTTTTCTCATTGAACATGTTCTTAGTTCAAATTGTTCTTAATTTAATTTCAATTTTATGTAGCATACCACTGTGTCTGTTACCATGGAACTTATGATACTAGACAAGAAGCTATGTTATTATAAAATATCTTATTGAGATAGTTTTTTTTTTCCTAAGCAAAACTTTGTGACAGCACTCTCCTGTAAACCTTTCACCAGAAATGGGGAGATACTATTGTAAGTTACTATTTGGGTTTCAGAGATTGATAATAAATACATTTATAACACGGATGCATATGCTTTCTATTTCTATGCAAAACACGAATTTTATGTATGTATAATGGCCTCAGAGAATCATAAGTAGTAATTACTATTGCTTTCTACATATAGAGAGGTGAAAAGGCTTTCCTGCGTAACATCTGCCCTCAGTCAAATGAAGTGGTACATAAAAACTATGTGTACATAAAAACGATAAATGCTGCATGAACTATACAGAAAACACTTCTCATCTAGAGCTCATTCATAGATTACCCTCATGGAATCTCATTTAAATGCAATACAAATGGTACTACAGTCTGCCCAGCCTCCACATCATTTCTACAAAAACATGAAAGGTGAAGATTTCCAGACCAGTTTCCCTGAACAGACTCAGTGTTGAGCTTACTGAAAGATAAAGAAGAGACAAGAAAGACGTTACCTGACTGGACTCTGTACCAGCAACACTAAGATCTTGAATGGATCTGCGCCTCTGCTGTCCGTTTCCTGCTGGGAACAAAACAAAACAAAAACAAACCAGTGAAATCTATTCAGAACAAAATACGAAGGGTGCGACTGTTGCAGAGGAGCTTGGAATTTGTACAAATCCACAGAGAGAAAGTGTGTGTGTGTGTGGGGGGGGGGAGAGAGAGACAGCTGCAGAATTTTAACCCAAAACATGCTGGCCTGTCAACAAAAAGTATACCCTAATACAATAACCACTCCTACCACATGAATAGCTGCTGCACTCTACTCCACCATCTTCTGTCACATGTATTTGGTCAGGCTTAGTACTCCGGGCAGGAGCTGGTGACGACATCTATTTCAAGTGCGTTACGTTATGGGGATTTCTAAAAGCCAGACCGCAAAGATAACCGGCTGCCTGCTTTAACCTGTTGCTCTTTGGTGCGCTCAAGGAATGCAGCGAGGACGTCTGCCCGCGAGCCGCTCTCCTGAAGAAAATAAAGAAGCAAAAGCGCTTCCTTCTGGTCTGTCTCCTTCAGATGAACAAAACTATGTCCTAGTCTCATGCTCTGGGAAGTGTGAAAAGAGGACTGTTCAGCTAAATCACATCTCACCATCAACCTACTGAGCACAATGCTGTAATCTTTTCCTCTTCTCCTTCCACCTGTTAGCAATTATCCACCAGTGACAGCTACATAAAACAGTTTAAATTTTAACACTGACACGCAATCAAAGGCATTTCCAGGAAACAAGTCTCCTTAAAAATAAAAGGAGATTATGCAACGGAATCTCCCTGGCTTCTTTGATTTTTACTACAGTGATTGTTTATATTGTCTCTTCAGAGCAGGTCAGCTGTCCAAAAGGAAACACCAAAACGTCCTGAGTAACAGCTGACAATGCTCAAAATTCTTGCTCTTAGCTCTGCATTACGTAACTTTTCTACTGGAGGGGAGCATCCGAAACATGTCCCGCAGCCGTGGCAGCCCCTCGCCCAGCCACTCTGCACCAGCAGCCAACCCGGCTCACTCAAAGCCCTGTAACCAGCATCGCATTTTTAACCTTTTAGATACTTCCCATTCGGCATCATTTCCGTATGGCTCCACAGCCTGTCTTGACAGGTGTTTTGATTTGCAACAGTTACTACAAAAATGTAAGACTATTTAATATTAATCAATGCGTTTAATGGTATTGCACTTTAAATTTTTTAATATAGGTACTATTGCATGTAGGAACACATTACCACAAAACAGCAATAAAGAATTCTCAGTGTCACTTTACCAATTTGTCATGACATTTTATAGTCTAAAATTTATAGAAAGTACTATGAGAAACAAGCAAATAAGAAAATCAAGAAGGATTCTAGAATGGGAGTATATTCTTTGCTCTGAGTACAAATGAATTTGAATTGCACCTTTTCTGTGGTTTTGATCTTTGGCTTTCGAAACTCAGGGAAAGTACATACTTACCTAAGCAAAAATGGATATATTATGTTTAATACTTCAATATTAGCGTACGTATGAATGACAAACCTACATCAAAATTTCTCAACTTGCTCATTTGCAGTGAACTTTTTCATTACCTAATCATTTGACAAACAAGATTTTACATTTAATAGAATTCTGTGCTCTGGATACTTCATCTGGCTGCCACAGCTCATCTGAATATTCAAGATATGGGTGATCCACCCACAACCGATACAAAACTATGTGCACGTTTCATTCAACAACACTGTTACAAAATTAGCTCAGCTGAAACAGGCTTGCAAAAATATCTGAAATTCTCATTTCAGATTAGCAACATTTGTGAATTTAAAGAACCCAGCACATGTGTTGTTGAAATATTAGAACATGGCTGCCAAAATGTTAAAATAATCAGGGTGGGGTGCAGGAAAGAAAAGAAAATGCCTTGGGAGGAGAAAGAGGGGCCAAAACTACTGTGTTGTAATAAATGAACATCTTTAAATTAAATATCTTCAAGTTAGTAGCATGAGGGAAGAGCAAGCTCTACTAGGCAATGCCATTTTAATTAGTATAACTACTGCAGACATCTGGCAAATAGCTTAGACAAAGCAGAAACAGACTACGAATCAACAAATACTTATTGCTCCAGATTCAAGACAAATTTCAATTAAAAAATTTATATATAATCTTTATTTGAAACGATCACTGCTACTTCTCTATGCTTTCCTCTCACAGTTTTGACCTTGTTCTTACTTTTACGTCCATTTAAAACTATTTTTTTTCATTATAAAAACAAAGAGATTTGTAAATGCACAGAAGTTAATATACGGTAGCTTGATGCATTGTCAAGATTTCAGTGGTTTACAGGATTTTAAGATTAAAAATCAAACATTTCAAACATACTTCCTGGCCTCAAAAAAACCCCATTTCATACACTGTTGTTTATTTTTAAAATGAAATTCAAAAGGAACAGGAATCTTTCATTATGTGCTACTCCACATACTCCAGCAAAACCAAATTCTACAGCTTATTAAGGCTTTTGATCACCACCTCTCCCCCCAGTCAAATATCCAGACCAGCTATGAACTCTTCTCCCTGCCCTTTAGCAGATGCTTGTGTCTCCTTTTACACTTTATCATTTGCACATAGTACTCTCCCTTCCTTACACACCTAAAAGACCCAAACCCCTCTTGGTGCAGCATGATCAGTGAATGTAACAGTGCTAGGAGACATTTTAAAGAAGTTAAAACATTTATCTGAATTCCAGAAGAATGAGGTGATCTGAGGAGACGGGTGGGATTTCTGACTTATATTGGTTTTAAAAGTAGACGGAAAAATTACAGACCTAAGCATCTGTAATTCCTGTCTACTTTCTAAAGACGCTCAACAAAATGTGTCTCTCCTGAGTAATCATTTATGCAGCGTCAATGTTACAAAAATCTTAATGCTGTGGCACAGTTTCAGATGACAAAATTACAAAGTCAAATGCATGCATGCTATATGCATGAGATGTCTAATGTTGCCAGAGAAGAAAAGGCTGCTCTTGAAGGTATATTTGCTAGATGCTGCTTGATTGGTTTGTAGCAAAAAGATGTTCTGATTATTTTTCTTGACCGTACTACAAACTATACTTAGATTCTTTTTGTTTCTTTAAACATATAGCTACTTAAGCCTTCTGTACTTATTAGGGCTTTTATTTTTCATATACATATAAAAATAAAATGTTGGTGCTTATCTATACTATGTGTTATATATACTATAAATGGAAAAAAAAACCCCAAACTTCACTTGGCTATTTGGTCACAGGATACCACCACTGAAAACTCATTTGCCAAGTTTCTACAGAAAAAAAGGAATTTGTTGATCCATTTTTCAGTTTCTAAGTTTTGTAAGCTAGTGACACAAAATAGTATCTTAAATGAAAGAAAGTTCTAGTCATCCTTATTTAAACTTACTTAGAAAGAAAAGCAAACATACATTAAAAACTTCCAGTTCTGCCAACATTCTACCTTCAACTGATAAAAATCTGTATTTTATGACCTCGGTAGCACAATCAGTTCACGGATGAAAAGCAGCTGAGGCAACACATTACAAAAAACCCCAATGATAGCAGATGTAGTGCTCATACTTCCAAAATAGCCTTCTAAAATAGCCCTGCCCCAAAGCAGCTGACTCACGGTAACATGCCTGCCTGGTGCCCTCCCCTCTCTGGGAAGCAGCTGCTTTACCATGTGCTCAGCAGAACTCCAGGCAGCACCACAGACTGGGTCAGCACTCAGGCTGCTCCGAGGAGCGACACGGACTGCTCACCCTGTGGACGGATGGACTGTGCCCAGGGACGTCTGGAGGAGCCAGGTACGTGGCAGAAGTGTTAAGGAACGTAATGGGGTGGGATCGAGACAGAGGTGCCAGTTTGGGGATCTTGGAAGTACAACTAGAAGGGGAAAAGCATGTTAAGAGGCCAGGGCTGAAAGCCATGTGCTGTGAGAGTAAGGAAAGAGGTGACAAATAGGCTACGTTATATTGTCTTTAAAAGAATAACTGAGCAAGGCACTTCTGAATAACTGCTTTACATATACAGATAAACGTAATTAATTTACAGGGCAGATGCTCACATCCCTGTCACGTAATGATTAATCTTTTTTTTTCTGCCCTGTGATTCTTATAGGAAAACTGTTCTGACAACTAGAAAATGTTTAATATACAGCCTAGACTTATTTGCAGACAATTTACATCTTTCTTCTGTAGTACCAACACTGTCTTTTAGCTTAAGTAGTTCTGTCTTCCTAGTCTTCAGCTGCAGATTCACCTATAGAAAATACTAATTTTCAGCTTTCATTCTGTGGACTAAAAAAGCCATGCTTACAGATTCTTCTTTATACTCTCCATACCATCCTAGTTGCTCTTCTTGCTACTATTTCAGAACACACATGTTTCTTTTATATGACTGCCCAGGATAGTATGTTGAACTCCTGATTAAACCACAGCAAGGGCCTGTAAAATAGTGTTAGTGCTTCCTTACTTGTCCTGGAAATGAATCTTAAGATTTCACACAGTTTTTTTACAACTGCATCACTTTAGTGTCTTATACTACCTGAGATTAATCTGCATGCATCTGCTATGGTCCTTTGCAGTCATCTTACTACAAGAAATTGTTGCTAGTGTGTGACCCGCGGTGCATGATCCTCGATTTTACCCTATTTCTATTTTTTTCTCCCCAGTCACGGCAAAATTCGCCCTATGTGATACTCTAATTCTCCTCTTTATGAATAGTCACTTCTGATAAAGCATTAACAGTGAATTTCATTATCGCTCATTTAAAACTTAAATACCTTAAGAGTAAATTTTGAGAAAATTCATTAATATGCTTGCTCCAATCCTATACCTTCTTTCATTTCTACAGGTTGCTTCTTCTCTCCTGTCTATTCCAAATTCACCTTGGAAGGCCCGTCCTGTCAAGTTCAATTAAAATAGTCCAGAAGAATATTTAATTAACTTCCTCTGCCTGAATAAGTAAAACCAATAGACTAGTACAATCTATTTTGTGAAAACGACACAACGTTTTATTTCACTGACTTTTTAATTATTCTCTAAAAGTTTCAAGGTTTCTCGGAAGCCTCAGTGCTGTTCCTGCAGACAGTGTGCACTGACAAGAGGCACTCAGTAAGCTTCTAGAGCTTATTTGCCAGGCTCTCATCATGTGCTGACATCACAAAACTTGACAGATCACTTTCACTTTCCTTGCTCTCTCAGGATTTCATTTATGTTATGGCAGGTCAGGACCATTTGAAAATTACAGTGGAAAGCTACACTAGTAAACTTTTGCCAATTTGTTAGCCTCAGTACCAAATAGGTTTTCTTCCCATGGGTACTGCTATTGTTCTTTGGAATTTACTTTTTGACATTCTGTATTTTTATATGTAAACTTCGATAAAGTTATTTGAATGAAACTTTTGTACAAATTATCTTTTATATGCAACTTTAAAATACCAAACTACGTCAAGATTTACAAGGAAACTTCCTCAGACAACACAAATTTAAAGAAGGGGGTCCACAGATTTTAATGGCTCTCTAGATTAGCAGTGGATACTACTACTTGCATTTCCTGCCTCTGACAAATCATTTTGAAGCAACTTGTACACCATTAATACCTACCACAGGATGGCTGTGATATGTGATGGGATTGATTATACTTATTTTTAGGCTTTGAGAAGTATGAAATACAAGAAAGAAATCTGCTTTGATTGCAAAAAAAGGAGGGGGAAAGGAAAACAATATGCTGCTAACTAAATACAGACTTGGGATAGATAAGAATTATCCTTTAAAGTCCCAACTCAATCTACCAGCTATGGTACCCAATCACACTGATCATCTTCTTGTCAGAAACCTCTCCTAATAATTTTAGTTTGCATTAACTTAAACACAACAGCAATACCTCCTGAAGACACACTTTACCTCTAGAAAAATGTAGTCAAATATAAGAACTACACAAAGTAAGCACTGATTTTTATTTTTTTTTTTAATCACAAGCATCATGTGGATTTGAAGCTCTGTACATAATGTATTTAAGGTTTTTGTTCTACTAATATGTGATTAGATTAAAAATAGGCGCTCAAATACAATGAAGATGTGAGCAAGATAACTACCTAGACAGGATTTTTTCAACTTAAGTCCATTTTCACCAAATGAGATATTGTAATAAAAGACTGCATGCAGAGTTTTGCTCTATAAGAAGACTCTGAACATCAAGGTCCTAAAGGAAACAATCCTTTATCGATAAAAGCAAATTCGAACTAGAAGATCGAATCCTTTAAAGATAAAACTAAGTTTGCATTAAAACATCATGCTTCTCTTTACAGAGACATTATGAAAAAGTAACTGGGATAATTTCTACTTCTGTCCTAGAGCAACTGGAGCAAGAAGTATTTTTAGCAGTCTGATCATTATTCCGGCATCTTAATCAATTGACCCGTTCACCTGGTCTGCGATACCTGGTATGATGATCTCAGGGACATCCAGAATGTTGCCAAATGAAGCAGTTTTACGATGGCCTCGTTTAGGCTTGGAATAGGCTGAAAAAATACACATATACAATACACATGCAAAACACTAAAATGGCAATAGCAAAATTATTAAATTCCTAATATTGCATTTTTCATAAACTTGGTTAAACTGTAGTTCATGCAAAAATGTGTCATGCAGAATAAACTGCATTGCCTTCCACTCATGCTTACACATAGTAAAGCCACTGTTAAAAAGCAAAAATGCAGAACTAGCCGTCATTACAACACCGTGTAATTAGTTATAGTTAGCAACACAAAAGTCAAACACAGAAAGCAGCATGGCAACAAAGAAGGGAAAACCAAATGTAATTATCCAAACAGAGAAAAAATTATATTATTTCAGATCACCTGTATATTCAGAATAAATTATTGATTGCCTGAACTTATGTAACATTTTCTCTTTAGTGTTGGGTACAAACTATTTTATAATCAAGATTAATAGCTGGGTACTTCTGTTTCTTTAAATCATCTCCTTTTAAAGGAAATCTCATCTGTCTTTGAAAAAATGCTTACTCTTACTACATTTGACAGTCATTCCTGCCTTTCATTCTTTTGTCCTATTAGTGAAGATTGTTTTTTTTTTTTTTTTTTTGAAACCTGGGTATCACTACCAACCTTTTCATTTTTGAATGACATTCAAGAAATATTATATACTTTGGAATAAAATCTAATTATACGTATTTTATTTTTGTTTTACTCCTTGTTTAAAGATAAATTACCATTTAGAGAAAAGTCTGAATACATCTCCTAAAGGTTGAACATTGCAGCATATCCATTTCAAACTAAGTAAAGGTGATGTGCATTATGTGATTTACACTTAAATCTAGCGATAGATGGAACAAGAAAATTCAATAATTCTTGACCTGATTTACTCTTAACAGCCCAATTCTCACCCAGCCACAGAACTTTTTTTTCCAGTTCACAGCATATTATTTCTGTCACACAGTTAAGAAGATTAAAACCAAAGCAAAACCAATACAGTGCTGTTTCAGCTCTTTTCTGAAAAAGTTACACTCAGATGGGTTTCACCTCATTTCTAGTAGTCCACTACTGCCTGAAGTGATTTGCTAAAAAAAAAAAATAACTAGTATGTTCAATAGATACTTTTGTTTCAAGAAAAAGAAACCCTACAGTCATTAAAAAAAAATCTTAGAATATTCTGAAATAATAATTACTATTCAGAGCAATGTACTTAAGGAAGACAAACCAGGAAAATTAAAAACTCACACAAAGGAGTGCCAGGTTATCATCACTAATGTCAAAAACTTACATTGACTTTAGAGTGTCAGTGACCAAAGTGAGTCCTGACATATTTTAAAATATAACCAGCATGTTATTATTATCAGGTAAGTACACAGCTGCCTTCTGTGTTAGGAAACCTTTAGATATATTCAGGATGAGATGTGCTACACAATTATCCAGTCAAAGACTGACAATACAAAAGACAAATCTTGGAATAAAGCTTCAAAATAATAACATAAAAGTAAAAAGTGTTTAGGGAACGATAAATATTATTTCATGAGTAACTTCAGTATTTAGTAAAACAAGATCCTGGAGTCATAATACAATGAAGAACAAAAATGAAAGTGTCATGGTGCACAAGAAAGCCAGATTAAGATTACACCTACTCAATTACCCTAAATGTCAGATTGGTAGAAAAATGCTAGAACAGCTAAGTAACCCTGGACTAAACAAAGTAATTTTGTCGTGATTATTTAAATCTGTGGTTATAGAGCGTAACAAAAAAAGTTTCATATATGAAACTTAAAACCTGAAGTTTCCAGAGATTAACAAACAATATCTTTGATGAAGAAAAGAGACAAGAAAGTGTTTGCCAAGTATACATGTTTTTATTAATTCGCTCTTCTGGGAAGAATAAAGATGGCTTTCACTGTAAAATTATGTATTTATACTTACACAAATTCCAATTCACTCAAGGATTCAATGTTTAGACACAACAATTTATAGCTACCTGAAACAAACAGCAAACCTGGCAAAACACCTGTAGCTTTGTTGTTTGTTTGTTTTTTAAAGATACCAATGCTTTGTTAATTTGATAAATAAAATCTATGTTTCTCTTTCTGAAATCTCTCAAAGTGGATTTTAAACCTTATTTGGGAACATGCTGAACTTTAAACCCACCTCTTAATTTCAAAATATTACAGGAATAACCTTGAAGGAAATGTTATTTTAGAAGTAACAGGTTGGAACTAGATGATCTTTTAAGGCCCCTTCCAACCCAAACCCATTCTATGATTCCATGAAATAATTACACTAGCAGATATGGAATAACATTATTTGAGACGCCAAGGAGAAAGTTGTGCATTTGAAATAGGACTGATATTTAAAAGTCTCATAACAATTATTCTAAAAAGGTAGAAGTCTAATTCAACAAAAGTAATCTCTTCTGAAACCTTAAAAGTACCCAATTAAAATACTCAACCTTGGTGAGTGTACAGCTGTGAATGAAGCCATTTCCACCCACAATTACTAAAGGACAATAAAGACTCCATGAAAAGTCAAAGCATCTTCATACGGCTAATGGTATTAACCTTCTGTAAGACTATACATGTTTTACATTTTCCTTCCTCCTCATTCCGTAGTCTATCCTCCAAATAACCTTTAATTTTACCTGTGAGAGAAGCTATTCTTGCTTCTATTTCAGACATGTCAGCACTCATTCTTTTGGCTTCTCCTGAAACAAGGGCTGACTGTGGTCTTGCACGAACATCTGACAAGCTCTCCACACTGCTCCCGCGAGACGGGGGTAAACTCAAACGGCCAGGATCACCCTGTTTCAACAGTCACATTTTTAAAAAGAAAAACAAATCTGCAGAAGCCCCTCCGTGATATGCACAGTATGGAGGTTAAAAATATATTTCTGTGATGTGCATTTTAAAAGTGACAAGATTTAAAATTTGTAATTCAATAAATGGTAATAATTTAGCTATCATTGACATACAAGAGCCTAAAATCTGCAACTTTCAAAAGAATCTAACTTCACACAGATAAAAATCGAGTAGAATTAGGCTAATATTGTCACAAGAGAATCTTTATATTTTTTCATCCTACTTGAAATAAAACATAGTATTTTCAAAATTCACATAAATGTTTAAAGGTTTCATATTATAGTAATATTTTGGTTCTAAATTAAGGCAATGATTTTCAAATATATTTTTTTTAACCTAATGAATTCCTTTAAATAAAAGGAACTATTTTTTTATTTCATTGGAGATCTTCTTAGAGGCTCCTAGCTTACCTTCTGGGAATCACTGGGTATTTTTCCATCCCCTTTCATGTTCTTTTCCTATAATTAACTGGCTCTAGTATTGTACTATTTTTAAAAGAAGACACTAGTGTTTCATAGCAGTTACAACATTTTTGTCCATTTTGTCCCTTTCATTATTACGGTTCAAAATTGCACGCGTTGGCTTACCGGCTGCTTGGCTGTATTTTTCATTTGCTGTGCCAATTTTGACTCTAAACGTTTAATAGTGTCATTGGTAGAAGCTCCTTGGAAGTCACTTGGTTCCACATTAGCATCACTCTTGTTACTTGTGTTTGTAGAAGTGATGTCCATGAATGAACCTAGAAACCAATAAGGAAAAACATTTGAGAATTTTCATTAAAAATACTGAAGTGTGTCTCTTTGTGTCTCTTCACTTGAGCATTCTCAGAAGCCTAACTTTGCTTTAAAGCAACACTTCTGAAAACTTTTAATGAAAGGCAAGCTGCAAGATTGCAACAGATCCATTAACATAAAAAGTAAAAGGAGTGAAAAAGACAGAATACATGACTAAGTACTATGATGACATTCTGAAGTCAATCTTTAGCTTGCTCTGAAATTGTTGGGGTAGATGTTATGTTAACGATACAACCAGCAACCTCGTTCATAATTAATGAAAAAGTCCATCATTAACTGTAGAGCAGCACAAGTACCTGAAAAATAACAGACAATATATATTCACAGTTTAAAGTGATAAATCATAGCTTAGAATCGGACACTGAGGGGTGGAGAACAGCTAGTGAAGTAACCACAATGCTACAGCTGAAAAGATTTTTTAATATACAGGTCACTAAGTTGCAAAGTAGCCAAGGAAACTTTATCCAAAATAACAGCAATTTGTTTGGAGATAGAAAACAAATTAAACAAACAGTCAAAGGTGAAGACATTTAAGATTAAAAACAACTGAGGTCACTCAGTTGGGAAAACTGTACTCTAAAAAAAAAAAATGAGAAGACCAAAGGACCTGTATTTTCTGTTATTAAAAGGATTTCTCTGAGGGCAAGACTACCTGAAAGCCTAGCCCACATTTTGTTCTGTTCCTCTTTCTTATGATTCCCTTGCACTTAATTTAAATTACTGTATTTACTGCATCTTAACATAAAACAACTGCAAGTTTAAATTGTGGAGATCATAACTGAAAACAGGTGCAGCTTTCAAGAATAGTAAAAAAATCTAAAAATGCCAACTCCTAAACATTACATATGAGCAAAAGAGTGTCAATTGCTAGCAACCTTCACTGGGGAAAAAAGGAGACCTTAAACCTGGACATTCGGAGACGGCTTTTATTATTCTTCTTCACAAAAGGTGCACTTCAGCAAAACCACTTGGCTGAGAACACTAAATACGATGTGGTATAAGGTCTTAACAAAAAAAAATAGATTTCTGTCAATGCTTAAGATTTTGGAAAGGTCACCTTTACCAACTTGATTTCAAATCAGTATGAGAACGTGCTTTATAATCCATCTGCATCATTTCATGCTGCTGTTCTTTTCACTTATTTATACAAGTGTACCTGTACTAGTGGCGGAGTTGCTTTGGCCTTCATCTGAATACTGGCAAGGATATTGCAGAGGTTCATCAGCTCCTGGAAAGTACTGTGCAAAAACAGCAATGATTTGATAAAAAAAAATAATTAACAATAGTTTCAAAATTATTTAAATAGTATCCCATAAAATAATTTATAAATATAAATTCTATATTATGTTTAAAGTAATTTATGTGGAAGAGAAATAAATGCAATTATTTTTAGTCATACATTAAAATATATCTATGACTATTCTTATTAAATTCCCCAAACCTGTTATGAGTTAGCATACCTATCCCATAAGTACAGGAATGATTTCCCTTCTCTATGGTAATAATTTGATAATTTTTATCAATAAGAGAGAGAAGGAGAGAGGAAACATGTAAGCCCACCTTCAGAGTGTGATAAAAGGCATACCTTTTATAATTCAATTTCCCAACTTGATAGGTTAAGAAATTAATAAGATACTAAAATAAATTTTTATACCCGCATCAAGTGTGTCATTATTTTAACAATTTCCTCCATGGATGGTCGTTGTGAGGGATCCTTGGACCAACAACGGGTCATTAAACTCTCAATCGGTTTAGGTAAGTTTTTGATCAACGGTGGCCGAGTACCTATAATTGAAATTAGGTAAACCCCTTAATTTGTTAAACAGACTATAAAACAACTGACAGTGACTGATCTCTCTCCGGTATTTTCCTAAATAAATATAGGAAAACCTAGTTAATTGTAGTCTGAAAGAACTGGCCTGTACTAATTTTCTGTCTTATGGACAAAAAAACTGACAAAAAAAGTTCCTTTGTACTATATACTAATTACAATTACATACAAACAAGTAGAGAGAAAATTAAACTTTTCCTTCAGTAGTGGTTTGAATAAATTCACTGACTGACCAAATACAACATATTAAAATGGCTAATGAATATGTTACCACCTTCTGAAGAATAAAGCTCTGGACCAAGCTAGGAAGCAAATAGTAACAGTCTTTGGTTCCTAACACTGTACTCATATGGAAAAAAAAGTATTTTTTAGGGCTGATTTTGCTCTTAAGAGCTTCCTAAAAAATTACTAAGCACTGAAAGTATGAACGTCGGGTGAGTTTTTCATGGCCTATACACATTTTTAATTATGTATTTTACTTCAACTGTTTTATGACTATTCAGCGAATTTTTGGCTCAAGTTTCTACTTTCTTTACTATTTCAACAACGTGTCCAATTAATGGACACCTAGTTGTGTTTAATAGATGAGATGTAGTGATATTTTGCATAGAAAGCAGCAAGTATTTAAAAACGTATTAACCGTAACAAGAAATATATGAAGTAAGAGTGCCTCAATGGTTTCAAGTGAGACGAAGAGCACTAACACTTCCTTCCTAAGAAGGAAAGAAAATTTTCCTAAGAGAAAAAGAAAAAAAGAGAGACGTTTTTAAAGCAAAAGTAGGGATGGATGGGGAATTTGTGTTCCCCTAAAGGATACTCCCACACCTTACCAAGGCTTTCTGATTTATGACTATTAGAATTACGTTTACTTTTACAGTTAATGCTTTTATGCAAGACACTCATCACTCCTAATTTCAATGACTTCTGTCCTTGAAAAAAATCAAATGCAGAATCTATTTCTTCATTCAAAAATGCCATTTGCAAACATCTATCCTTGTGCATTATTACGACTATAATGCTCATCCATCCTATCCCTGTCTGCCCCTTTCTCTTCTTCATGGAACAGGATGCCTGTGCTCACCTTAAGCTTCTATCATTCAGTATGGAAGCAACGACACTCAGGCAGAGTATCGGCCTTCATTGCTTGTTTGGAAGACGTAATTAACAAACAAGTTCACGTTTTCTTTGATGTCATCTTTCAAAAATGGCAGAAATTCCTTGCAGACATTCACTAAACTACTTCACTATCATTACTTTATTCTTCTTAAAACTCTGTTTTGCTATGGTACCTAAAAACACAGTTAAAAAAAAAAATCACACCACTAAGCATGATGATACTACAGTCTGTTATTCTGACCAATGTTCTACCACTGCTTTCTTTTGTCCATTTGAATCCGACCACTGTCTCCTGTTCATATTCTAAGCTCCTGAGAATCTGTGTTTGTATAGTGCATAGCACAGTAGCAGCCTGCTCCATGACTGCAGGTACCTAGATATAAAGGTAAAACAATTCAAAGAATTGAACAAAAAAAACCCAGAACAAACAAACAAAAATAAAAACCCAGATGAAAAACAAAATAACATTTTTAATGCCTAATGGTCCTGCAGGAGTTTGACAGTCCCTAGCATTTCTAACGACAGGTCAAGTTACTTAAACTCACATATCTACTGTGGATGCGCAATTAAAAAAAAAAAAAAGATAATTCTGCTAATAAAATCGTCATTCATCCAGACAGACGGGTTGTGGCTTTTCTGTAGCACATGATTCAGATAACTTTTAAAATCAGGTGTCATAACAAAAAGAACAAGGCTCTGTTCCCCTGTTTGTTCATACACTAGTTACATGTAGCAGGAAATGCAAGCACTACAGCAGCCAAGTAACACAAAACCCACACTGAAACAAAAGTGGCAGCCTAGCTATTAAGGTAAATGCATATATTTAATAAAGTATAAGCCAGAAAAACTAGTAATTTAAAGCTGCACAGTTAAGAGTGTTTAGCAGATTTATAGGTCAAATGCACAACTTCAAATGCAATAAAGTATTTCAACTCACCATTGTGAACTGCCCACATTATGCGGAAAGCTGGACCACCGATCTCATCGAAAGGTTTCCTACGGGTGATTACCTCCCAGAGAATAATACCCCAACTGAAAACGTCACATTTTTCACTGTAATTGCTACCTGGAAGAAAGCCATCAATATAATTTCTCTTTTCTATATAACACATTAAAAAGAAGTACAGTTTGAGCTGATAAATAGCTCTATATGCTTCCTTTCACTTCACATTTGTTTTGCTGAGAAACAACAGTTTTCTGAAGCTGGCTGATTCATGCTAACTTAAGTCTGAAATCATTTGACAGTAAGATCATTAAGAATGCCTCTCTGTGGAAATCAATCATTTTCACTTGGAGCCATCCCAAAATGATAAAACGTGTCAGTTTTCTTCTATATTGTAGAATGCAATTTATTAAGTTTCAAAGTTCTCTTAACTGGCTATGCTTGCTTCCTCTAAATATTCTTCTACTCACTTCTTCCATGTTAGTCACAATATGCCAGTGAATAACATCTCTGTCATATCTTTTGCTCTTTATTAATCACAAGTCTTTAGCAGAACTAGTAGATTATTATATGAACAAATCAGCAGATTCCTCAATTCCTTACCATCTTGTTTCCTCCCTGTTTGCTATTCTTACTTTTTGTCATGTCATTAAAGTTCTTTGACCATAAATTCAATATTTCTAAGACTCCTGTTAAAGGTGCAGAAGACATAGTTGATGCAGAATAATGAATAAAAATGTTCAGAGACTGCAAAGAGAAAATATATGCTCTGTAACCATATCTCATGCAAATAATAAAAAGAAATGTGAATGGCTAATGACATAATAATAAATAAGTGAATATAAAGGATAGAGATTTGCTCATCAGTCTTCAAACAAGGATCAAAATTGGCCTCGAACAGCCAAGAGAATTTTTTTGTTAATATGTAATCAGAAAGCATCTGAGACAAATCATTTCATAAACAGTGGATACCCATCATATAGCATCCAGTTGCAACAGGCTGCATTCCTCCTATGAGCCATCTTCTTCTGCCCCCATGCCTCTAACAAATGGCAAGGAAAGCAACATGTTCTCAGGCCAGCACTTGCAGACCAGTCAGTTTACAAGGTAGACAGGAGAGAGAGGCTGCAGTGTCGGAGTGCAGATCCTTGAAGAGACTGCACGAAGAAAATCCTGTGTAAATAGAGACTGGAGCTCTAAAGTTAGGCCTCAAGGGCAGAATGCCCTTGAAGTTAAGGATAAGAAAACTATGCAGTATGATAAGGGAGTAGTGTTTGCTTAGAGCAGAGCTTCGCTAGGCGGGTACCTGTTTGAAATAAGCTGTTAAATATGACAAGCATATGTATCATCCAATAATGGTGTAGAAAAGGTGTGGTCTCAGGATTATTGGCAAATACTGTCTATATAAGCAATAAGAACTGCGCAATAAACGAGACTTCCTGCAGCTAACTCATATTGAGTCGTCTCAGTACTTCTCCAAATCCCTTCTCCGCACTGCAGCACAAACTGCGAGTCCTCTTTAACTGAAGGCACTAATTTGGACTTCTCCCAGCTACTGATTTTATAAGACTAAGAACTTGGCATCTCCAAAACTCTTTACACCTATATTGAAGTAGCTGAATGTGGCTAATGAGTTCGAAAGTTATTAAGAGGAATGGCAAAGTTGTCTTTATCAGTCAGCTTTTTTTCAAAAGTGCTGGGGAAAAAAAAAAAAAACCGGTATCTGTTAACAATGGCAGACCGCTAAGGGAAGCACAACAGTCCCTCTCATCTCTCAAGCCACAGAACTTCTGTGAAACACAGCCTATGACAGGGAAGTAGTCTTATTCTCCTGTTTGAGCCAGGAAATTCTGTTTTGAGGATGAGAAGTCTTGGACTAATTCTGAAAACTGAAAGTCCAAAAGAAGTGAGAGAGTAGAGAGTATTGTTTCATTATGTAACAGACCAAGGTAGGAAAACACAGACATGATCATTCCTTGATTTATTCAATTACCCCAAAGCAAATTTAAAATCGTTTCTTCTAAAGGGAATTCTGGATTAGAGCCCTTGCTCTCTTTCACTTTATCCTGATCTAAATGATATTGTTTTCATTTAGACAGATTGATCTGTACAAGGATTTCGGTGCCCTAACGTTTAAAATGGGGGGAAAAAATCTTACTGTTAGGGCAATTAATTCAATGAGCACTCTGCCATCTAAAACAGACACTTCTTGTGCCTTTATTGTTCTCATCTAAAAATGTAAGTACCAGAACAGTACTAAAATAATATCAGCATTTATTCCATGGTTGAATTCTGATGCAGTACCATAAGAAAACAAGTTTTTAACAATTTTGACATGACATGATAATTTTAGTAGTTTAATGACTGTTTCAAGAGTAATTTGGTATACTGCAGCATCAAAGCTACTAGATTCCTTTCTTTCCTTAATAGCTATTCTTGTATAGAGATTTGTGTCATTATCAGTAAATGCTTTCAGATAAAAGTACATAAAACCAACTGCAAACTGAAGGCTTTTTGCTGCTGTCCAACAATAAATTTACAATACAAAACTTTTTTGTTCTGCCTTGCTGAATTCATATATCAGAGGAATTAGGATATGCACTGCAAATCCCTTCTACAATACACCTATTTCAAAGTCTGTTTTAGATTAAGATTTTTCACGTAAAACCAAAAAAGCCCAGCTTTAATGCTGATTGTCCAATTTATCTGATAATCATGTGGCAATTATACCTATCTATTTATCAAGTATCATCAGTCTTCCCCAGCTACACTCCAAGAAATAGCTTGTTTTCCTACTTTACTAAATTAACTGTTAATGACAAGTTCCTCAGTATGTAAGAAAGAGGAAGTACATCACATCTCTAGATGACACAAAAAGCAGATGAAGATGGAGTTACAAGAAAGTGGAGGATTGAAAATGAAGGCAATTATGTTCAATTTAGAGACACTAACAGGGAAATTCTACAGATAAAAGCTGAACAGAATAGGGAGTGAAAGTAATGACAGTGTATTTAAATGTCAGAAGAGTTTGAAATTACTTAATCTCAGAAACAGTACAATCCTGGGGAAATAGCCCTCTGGCTGTGATTTACTTGCTTATAAAATAAACAGCAGCTGTCTAAATGTACTCCTTATGTAAATCTCAGCAATGACACAAATAAAGGTTCCACATCTTCATACAATTAACTGCCTAATACTAACATGATAGAGTCAAGTCAGTAAGGCTTTTTGAAACTCTGCAATGTTATCTGGCAATATACAATCATAGGGATTTTTAAACAAATGTTAGACTTCTGCCAAGACTCTTTCCGCTGTTACCTCAAACTTTAGTACATTGATTAAGTAAGATTACATGATGCTCTTATTTCCTGTACCAAATTCATTCACAGTTGCATCCCTAGAAAGAACACATAATATCGACACTGTAAATTATTGTTACCTTCAAAAACTTCAGGTGCCATCCAAGCAGCACTTCCCTTATTGTTGGTCATGTGTGTTTGAATATCACACGCTGTACCAAAATCGCAGATTTTTAGAACTGTCCCCCCAGCTACCAAGAGCAAACTGTTAAAGGAAATAAAAAATCAATTAAAATTGTAGGATGAAAGAGTCTGGTAATAAACCACTGATTTTTTTTTATCCCAACAACTACCATTCTAATATAGCTGAATATCTAAGGTTTTGCTTTTCAATGCTTTAGTTTTATAATTTGAGAAATAAGGTCATTTGTGCCTAATCGGAACATATGAAATATTTTAAAATAGTCAAATATATATTGCAATTTACTAAACTTCTAAATGCTAGATTTTAAATAATAATATCTTTAGCCATAGTAAACTAAGTATATATTGGCAAAATTAGTCTTTCAGATGCCAGAGGCTGAAAACAAGTGCAGTAACAATTTTGCCAAAAGAAGAACAATCAAGACTCCCATTAATGTCATTCAACATAGCTATTTATTTAAATGAAAGCACTTGAAGTTACATGTTAACAGCTCTCGAAATCAAAACTGGAGACAAAAGAAAGAATTCAAGATTTAAAGTGTGGCGTCATGTTATAATTTTATTTGGTAATAACTGCAGGCTATCACCAAAAGGAGGTGATCCTGTTGATCCCCAAAATCTCTGTTTCCACCTAATTTGTGCAGCCAGATCTGAAGCTGTAAAATGAGTCAGACCAACAAACTGACTGGGCAGAAAACTGTTCATTTTTGTTTCAGTGGAAAGTGATGGAGGATTCTGGCAGGAGCAGTGGGACAGACAGAAGGAGGGAAAAAGGAGGATGGCCGTGTGGGGAAAGAGCTCTAATATATCAGACTAAAGATGACGTTAAAATCAAGCAACCAAACACTTCCCCCACCGCTCTGTTATCTTACTGAACACCACAACCCATTGTAAAACTGGGCCATTTTAAATGCCTCTGATTAAAAACAATGTCCCTATCAAAATCCTCTTCCATGATGCAGGGCAGGAGCAGGATGTTTTTCCCATTTAACAGAAAGTAACTGGGTACACTTCATTTCCTGTACCATGCACCACCATTCTCTGTAACTGAAGTTTCAAATGCACAGCTTCCATTTAGAATATCGTACATCCAATAAAGTTAGTAGGAATCAAAGATACTTCTTTCAAATGCAATGAAATGATTAAAAAGGATCATAAATTCCAACCGTAAGAAAATATGAAATGAGCCATAAACCTACTTTGGTGGTTTCAGGTCTCTGTGGATTAGAGCCTTTGGCTTCATACTGTGGAGATATGCCACTCCTTGGGAACACTGTAAACACCAACTCATGGCATGTGCAGCAGTATAATGAGGCAGAGGTTCAGCACCATGCAGCACTGCAAAACAAAGGCACAAACTAAAAAGAACTTTATTGCATATTACAACAGATACAACGGAGTTAACAACATACCAGTCAGAAAGCTCTATGGAATCTAAATAATTACTAATGTCTCATCGCTATAACTGAAAATAGCCTTCTGCAGACTGTTAAAATAATGGAAATGCCAAAATATTTTCCAATTTTTAGTATGTTTTTCATAATTTTTATGTTAAAATTCAATATGAAAGGTGTTGCTTGTTCTCAGCTATCCCTGGTAAAGTCTGTGTTAAACAAATGCTCAGAGAATTTACAAGTTAGAGAAGAATCTTTTAAGATGTTCCACTGGAAAACCTTACGTGACCGGTATAAAATATAACACACTGATATTAAGAAACAAACCAGTGGACCGAAAAGCAGTTTTTAAAAGCACACTCTTTTCTCCTTAAAATTATTTTAAGAATTTCAAAAAACCACAGAATGGTTGGGGTTGGAAGGGACCTCTGGAGGTCCCTCAAGCAGGGTCAAGTAGCCCACCTAGAACCAGCTGCCCAGGACTGCATCCAGGTGGCTTCTGAGCATCTCGAAGGATGGAGACATATGTAGGAAAAAACTTTGTACTTTAGATCATGTTTGTCCTAACACTAGCACTTCAGCTGCAGAAAGACACTATGTTGAAATGATACTCACCATTGTACAGAGAACCTCCTTCAGCATACTCCATAACAAGACACACCTTTGAGGGGAGGAGGGGACAAAAAATAGGGATGTTTTAAACGTAGGGTGGAAAGCAGCTTTTGTAAATTGAAAAGAAAGTTCTTTGAGAGGAACTGCAAAGTCTTTATGTATAAGAAACAGAAATCAGTTTTATATTTAGTTCCCACTGTAAGTTGGGAAAGAAGAGAATGACCCCCACAGTCTTGAAAAGCAAATGCGGTCTTCAAACTGCAAGTCATTTGCCTTCTTCCTTTTTTTCCAGTGGCTTACACAAGATTTTAAAATAAAGAATTTCACTAGTACTAAGGAAAAAGGGATGCAGCATTATTTTAACCAATTAAATAGTCCATACTAGAATTAGCTAAGGATATATCTTTTCTGTTACTGTACGTGCTTTTCTGCTTTAAGAATTTGTGGGACTGTTTGCAGCTGTGGCACAAAGAAAGCAAATCCTGATATTCCCATATATGAGAATAGGAACTGATTGACAAGTTATGAATCATGTGTTGCTAATGTATTTTCTTCATATTGCTGATCTGCAACTAATAGGACTGTAGATAGGAATGACGCTACATATGTAATACACCAGATGCCATTCTGACAAACTGAAGAATAATTGGTGTTGAGAAACAGCATTTGGGGTTTTCTTGAAAGAACTCATTTCTCATAGCAGGGGAAAGAAAACACAAAAACCTGAAAATATGAACCAACCTACCTATCTGTATATTTCCTTATTATGGCTAAACCATACAAAATACACATAAAATATACATTTTTGTACATAAAATACACATTTTGTGCATTGGTGCTTACACATGTTAAGCTAGTCACCTTTTGTCATACTGACAAAGCTATAACTTACTGGGTTTAGACAGGCTCCATATAACTTGACAATATTGGGATGGTTTACGCGTGACAGTTGTCGAAGCTGCAATACAAATCACATTGCATTTCAAACAATGGGGAAAAAAGGGCTAGTGCTTTATTTTCACTGTGCTATAATTCATGCATCACAACAGCAACTACAGCTTTACATATCTGCATAACCCTAGATAGTGATTTTAGGAATTACAAGACTGACACCCTTGTTTGCATTTTAATTTATGTAATTCGGTTTGTGCCTGACTGGAACTGCATTTAAAATCAATTTTAAAGAAATCAAATTTAAAGAAAGTATTTTTTATTTTTTTCATGGTGTAGTAAAATCACTGAAGTCGTAAACACTGTGCAACTATGACCTCTATAGGTTCAGTACTTTTCCTGGAGCCTCCAATTTTTTTATGAAGTCAGACAATTGAGATTCCAATCTGAATCATATTGGTTTTATTCAAAATATAGAAAATTCCTGTTATTAAAACAAAACCCAAAACCCACAACCCTATAAAATAAGCCAGCCAGTTTAATATTAATGTGACATAGTTCCAAGAACGTACCATTGCTTGTATTAGTTGTCTATCAGACTATTTTGCACTGTATTTTTTCTATACCAGTAGGCAGTAGAAGAGAACTAAAAAGACTTTCTCCCCCCG